GGTGAGTCGAAGAAAATAGGAAGGCTGATAAAATGATCATGGTGTGGAATGTACATAAACTGGGGTGTGCAGCCTTTGAGTCGACTATATATTGCACGTGAAGCTCGTCGGCCGCAGTCACTGCGAACACCGGAGCAGGTGTGTCCCGCCTCCTCTTCCTTGGCATCTTCTTGTTTACGCGACGCAAACAGCCTCGCGAATCAGCAACCCTCGTCTACGTGGTTGCAGTGAAGCCTAGCTGGTATCTGGAGGCATCGCATAAACTGGCGTCGTCGATGCAGATGGTCTGCTGTTAGGCAAGCAAAAGACGGAGAAGAAGTTTAAAGCTCGCGGTCGAAAATCAGCTCATTCAAGACTGGGTGCAAGTTGAATGGGCTTTATGGGTAGGATCGCTCGGTGGGAAATAGCGGAACGGCCAGTTGCGGTCATATATTTTGTCAACTTTTTAAAAAAATGAGAGTTGGGGTCCGCCTCTTTTTTCTCGAATGTCACATTTAAATAATGACCTGATGTGTAAGGAAGAAGCCTAGACTCTCAAAATATTATCAACTAAAACGAGTCTTTAAACCTTAAATTGTGCTTGTGCTTACCCGGTTCTCAAAATGTGTCCAAGGAAGCAGGCTTTCATTGTAGATATTGTGGTTGGAGAGCTCGGGGATGTAACTGAAATGTAAGTTAAACAGAAACACTTGTAAGAAGCGGACAAGGAATTAATAACTAGTTGATGAGCACATTTCATCCCACGTGAATATCCTCTTTCAGCCAACTTCTCCCCCCCCCATAGACTGTTCTTCCCAGTACTATATCGGAGAAGAAATTAATCATTCATACTGGACGTCTCATTTTCTCGGAACTAGTATCAGGAGTGTGCATTTTATGAAGGCTTCTCGTGCTCAAGTACGTCTAAGTGGGAATTAAACGAGATGTAGGTTAAATAAAACACCAGGGTGTTAATTCAACTGACCAGTACATCAGATGAAGGCCAAGTCAAGTGTAGGTACAAGAACATAAATCAGCTGCAGCGTAGTCAGTTGAAGAGGAATTCTAGCGTCGACCACAGGTCAATACACACATGCGAAGAAAAGGAACCATGGTAATGCTAGGTCGCTGGGAGCTATCGAAAACATAATTGCAACCGCAAACTGTACGCCTGTCTAGCATGCAACCGGAACTTAAAGATATCAGACTCGCACTTCAGATGTCGCGCACCCCGTAGGTGCTTTCCGGTATCGGATCTATTGGAGTCCTTCCGCCGGTGAACAAAATGTCTTGGTTCTGAAAATTACTAGGGTTGTTTGGTAAAGCAAGGGGATAAGGATTCTGTCGTATTACAGGTTGCCTTGCGCCAAATTCTAGGGCTGGCTAGGATTGGGGTATTATTAGGAGGGGTAGTGTTTGGGTTAGGGTACTAGGGAGGGCGGACGGAAGTCCTTAATTCCATGTCTAGACGGTTGCTTTTTTAAATCACCTGACAGCCACCTCGGGTAAAATTAAATCCGGTGCACGCAGACGTAGACTTCGCTGATCTGAAGTTGGGAATGAAGCTAGCCGAGTCTTTTAGTCTTAGAAGTATTTTTTTCACTGTCTGAAGGTAGATCAGTGACACCCGACAGCGGCATAATTTGGAGTATTCCCAATCACAGCTAACGCGGTTTGAGCATGGTGAGTCCCTGTACCGGGTATTACACGTTAAATACTCAACCGAAAAAATTTATGACTTGAAATTTGAGGTATCTCGAAGTCCGGGGTTTGGGTATGGAAAACTGTTACCGGCAAATCAGCCAGAAATAATCCTTTTATTCTCTTCAATCTTTGTCGTGTTTACGTTTACTAAGTTAAAATGTCCGTTGATGTTTTGGAAAACGCGATTATGACTGGGCTTCCGCCAGGTTAACCTTTCCCTTCTATTGCTTAGGTTCATGGTGCGTGCCCTGTCGAGGTACACACCCTGGTTAAATACCCTTCTTGCTCAGATAAACGAAGGTTGACAGCATGCAAAGCTTAGGAGGATAGTTTCGAAAACTGGAATATCTATAATTGTTTGTGAATTATCATGTAATTCCTTTAAGTACATGTAGCAAGCATCTTTGGGGAGGTGCTTTGTTCAGTATTTTACACCTATTCAACACCAACCGACTCATAAGACGGTATTTTTGGAACCCTATGAACACGATATAATACAGGAGGTATGCTTTTATTCTGACCGATTACTGGATAAAAGTTCCATGCAATAATTTTTTCCATGGTCAAGGACGCGCAGCTGCTATTTTTTACAATCTAATTTTCAGTTCCTCAACACCAGTCCACTGTTTGCTAATACAAAGGCGCGCAGAACTTTTGGCGTTTCGGCATATAAACTACAAAACTAGTATCTGCAGTTTTATCCCAGTAACACTTCCGTTTTAATAGCTGAGATGCTGAGGAGCTAGAACAATCTAAAGCATTCAGCTGAATAGACAGGGGAAAACACTGCTTACCAGGATGCGTCTCTTGTTGTGCTGTCGGACGTTGAGCCAGAAAAGTTAGTATAAAGTCCCTGTTCATTCTCGCCATGCCCCGAGTTGGCAGCAAATGAGCCGAGATGCGAAAACCAGGGCTGAGATGATCTTCCATTAACCTTAAATAGTCGTAGCGCCTCGTTTTCCGCATCAATCGTTTGTTCCGGCACGGCACCCGTGACCGAAGCAGAGGAATTGGCCGAGGCAGGGGAGGAAGAAGAGGAAAGGCGACACTGACCGGTGCCGCC